ATGCTACATCCTCCCTATAAGGTTTTCTTTACTCTTTCTTTTCTCCACATCATGTAACTTGGCATAAACAGAATTTAAATACTCAAATTTGGTCAAACAAGGTGGTTAGAGTTATGAATGGGAAAGAAACTAGAGCTAAGAATTAGTTTGGGTTTAAGAGTGAAATCAGGGGTAGGTATGATAGCTGGGATCAATGTACAATTCAGTTGAAGAAGAAAGCAGAGCTGATGACAAGAGATGGCTGCTTTAGTTTCAAGATTTTCATGTCATACCTTTAAAAAAGTCTTTCTCATGCTTTTAACACTTTCAAGATTCTGTAGAAAGTATAACTGCTGTCCTACATAATAATGTCAAATAAAACTGATGGGGTAAAAAAACAAAATGATCACAGATATAAAACAATTTTCTTTCTGAATTTTTAGAGAACCAATGTTTAAGTTATATGTGTCTAATTTCAGGGGCATTTTAACAAAGGATACTTCATCAGTAACGACTGCAGAGAATTTCTGAATCAATGATGTATGTGTGACTCTAGAATTAAGTGGAGCTATTGTCCTATGTAATCAATGGAGACATGTGTTTGACTATTAAACAGGCACACACAATAAGAAAATAAAGAGAAGCCAGAGTTCACTGCAACTATACTTGTTCATAGAATATGAAAGGCATACCAAGATATGTTATAACTAAGATAAAAGATAGGCTATAAACATACTCCTTCTTGGTGTTAATATGGATATTGGGTATTTAGGCCTGGTTTCCAGCATGCCATTGAAGGTAATAGGTCATTTTCTTACTGCTATAAGTTTAAAGAAAAATCACATACATACATACTTTGCCTTTTCACTTCCCCCTTTGTGGAAGGCTAACGGCAGAAAATATCTTAGATTCTAAACCCTTCAGCTTGTTCTATCTTCTATGGGACAGGGAGACAGCCAGCTACTAGATTCCTGCAGGGATGCTATTGTTAGGTGCCTTTCACAAATGCATTAGTTAAAATTAAGCAGAGCGAGTTCAGTACTAAAGACTGTGTGGGATGTTTGCGCTCACATTACTGGACATTACAGAGTGAAATGAAAAGATGGAACTTATTCACATCAACGGTAATTTGAGTAGTTAAGAATTACAATTTTCTAATTCCTGCTAAAATGGTATTAAGGGTTGTATTACATTAAATATAACTAGGTAACAAGAATATGCATTTATATATATAAATACTACAAATAATTTTAATGTCCATAAACAGTGAAAATGATGTAAAGAATATTTCATAATAAACAGCATTTTAGAGAAGAATTCAAGGCATGAAAAAAGTATTATAGTCTAATTATCAAGTTAAACATTTTTAGTTTGTTTCATATGACTTGATGTCTAAGAATAAATTTTTATTTTGATTAAATGGCATTTTCCATACTTAATACTATAGAATCAAATAGTAACATTTTAAATGTTCATACTTTACCTGCTCTTGAAATTACTACAATCCTACTATCTGTGGATGTTTCTCAACTAAAACACTTGGTCAGTATTTCTACCTGGTACAATATATACTTTGTGAAAATGTTGACTCTTGAGGCTTTGTTCTTCTGATTAAATTATAGCTATATAAATCCAAAAGAGTCAACTGAACAACAATACAGTGGTGCTAACTGTAAAATCAACATATATTTAATATGGTATCCATGTATAGGTATAAAAGTTAGTTCAACAAGAAGGAAAGTAAAAATTCTCAAAAACATAACAGAAAAAGAGAGAACACTAGAAAAAAGGTGTCAACAAAATTTTTTAATACAGTGTACACAGACAAGCAATAACTGACTTGGGCTTTGTGTTTTTCTGCTATGTTGGATCTCTAAAGAGAGGAAGACAGTAAGAAGACAGACAACTCATTCATAAAATGCCCTGGACAAGTCAGGAATTGGAGACAACAGGTATTTCTCCCTGCAGGCAGGGCTGCAGAATGGATAAAAACTGGACAATTGGTTGAACGTCTATATTAATAGTAATTACATTCACAAGATCTTCTGTCTTGCCCAATCATTAAGTGATCATTCCTGAACTCTGGCAGAACCCAGAATTACTATCTTAAGATGTTAAACCAAAGACTGGTTTGGGAGATTAAATAAAATAATGAAAAGCTGAAATCAGGGAAGAAGGAAAAGGCAGACTAAGTTTAAGTTAATGGCTATACTAAATACTGACTCTCTACAACACTGGCTATCAAACTTACACCCCAAACTTATTCCCAAGAGAAATGATAATCAAATAACCTGCAGATACTGATATTTAAAAGTTCCCCAACAATAATACCAGGTCCCTACTCTATCATTCACAAAAAAGGCTGCCAATCAATCAGCTTCAGTCACTTGCACCTAACTTCCAATTTTTCAATGCCTCCGTAAATATAAATACTCAAAGATGACATTTGAGAACAATCTCTAACATAACAGTGATTAAAGGAAAAAGGGGGAGGAGACTCAGAAAATAAACACAGCAACGTACATATTAAAGGAGATCTTCATACCTTAAACAAATGAAAAGATATCAATGTTACATATCCATGACACAAGAATGCTATAAAAATGGAATGTTCAAAGAAACAAGTCTTAAACATTTTTTTAACTAACAGCTGATATAAAAACTCAACAGAAAGACTGAGAAAAATAAGAAAATTAAATAATGGAAAGGGGAAATAAGAATTACTCAAAAAATAAATGAACTGTCTCACTAAAACCCTGAAAATGAATATGTAAAACACAGAACCTCCCCACCAATGACGGCTTCTGCTAACAGTAATGTGAAGGTGGCTTCCAGAGCCGACCTATCTGTGTACTTCAGTGTGAATCACTTAGTTGGTACAGTGGCTGAGATCTAGAATTTTTACACAGATGTATTTAGCTTAAAACTCATTCTACTCATCCTTGAGAGACAATCTCTCCTAGGTTATTAAATGATTTGTGAGTAAAAATGAAAAGGAGAAGTAAAGAGAACCCCTTAGGTTGGCGATCCCAGGGGGAACTCTGCATTCTTTGGGAGAGTTAAAGAATCCAGACCAGGGCTTAAAAATTTCAGAGAACTCTCTCCAGCAAGTTGAAACTTATATAATACCTGGTACTTCGAAAATATTGAGAGATTTATGTATACCAAGAAAAGAGATTTGATGTTGAATTAATGACATGTACAAAGAAGAAAATGCAAATGAAATGTTAAGAATTTTATCTATGGGCCTCCCTGGTGGTGCAAGGGGTTAAAGACACAACCAATGAAGTGATCCGCAGCCAGTGCAGCGCGAGCTCCCCAACTGGCAAGGGAGTAACCCACATGGCACAGCAGATCTCTCCTGACTCGCCTGCTGATCTCTTCAGCAGTGTATTTCAGTGGATCTGCCTATTCTGTTCCCCGCTCTGTCTCTGGTGAATCCTCTCACTCCCACACCTCTGGTGTGTACCCCAGTTCTTTAGTATTACTGAAAAAAACAAAAAACTCAGCATTATTATAGTTAGAAGATGAGGTGGATGAGAAATTATCAGTGGTAGGTGATAGTCCAGGCAGATGTGTTCAAGTCTCCACTTTCAAATTAAAATGGCAATTAAGCCTAAAACTAAATTCAAACCATGGCCTTGTAAGGCATATGGAAATAAGGATATAAATATCAAACAGAAAGGAGTCAGAAGACACTCTGGAGAGGTAGAAATATAGAGGAGAATATATAAGAAAAATAGATAACAAAGATATTGCACAGGAGTAAAGGATATGAGTTTCCAGATTTAAAAACTAAACCTACACTTAACACAACTCATGATGAATCTTCATAACACTAAAAGAATGGAGAGGAAAAGTTTCTGGAGCATAGCGGAGGCATATGCCAAGAAAAAAAGAGCATCCAACTTCTCAGAGCTTTCAAAATTCTGAGGAAAAGCTATTTCTTTCTTAGAATTTATACTCAAACTATCAACTGAGTATGGGGGGAAAAGGAATGAAAATAATTTTAGGTATGCAAGATTTCTTTTAATATACCATCATTTCTATGAACAGGATAGAATACATGCTGCCAAAAGGAGAAAATATCTAAGAAGTGAAAATCACGTGATCCAAAAAGAGGCACAGAGAATTCTTAAGGAGATAATGAAGAAAATTTCAGCATACCAGTTAAGGAGAAGTTTAGAAAACTGAGCGGATATTTCCATGGGAAAAAAATAGAAATGATATATCTGAACTACTAAGATTTAGAACTCTGTCAAGAGTTTGGCTTATTAGAGCCTCCCTGGTGGTGCAGGGTTTAATAACACTATCAAGCTATCACCAGCTACTGCAGGGAGTTCAATCCCCAGCCAGGGAGCTAACCCACATGGCACAGCAGACCTCTCCTGTCTAGACCGCTGTTCCCCTCAGCAGTGTATTTCAGTCAATTTGCCTGTTCTGTTCCCCACTCTGTCTCTGGTGAATCCTCTCACCCCCTGGACCTCTGTCCTAGACCCCTGTTCTTATACGCAATAAATCTTAAAAAAAAAAAAAGTTTGGCTTATTATATGAAGAAAAACTGTTTAAAGAAGGCAATAAAACTATAATGCTTAGTCATAAAGAATATTTTCCTAAGGGTAACTAAAACTGACTACTGAGTTAATTTAAAAACTGTCTCCTTACCGTTATTCTTACATGAAGAATGGAAAGCATAAGGAAGAAAAGAAAAGGAAGTCTAAAACTAAGAAATACCATCATCACTTAGTAGCTAAAACTATGCAAGGAAATTTCTAAAGAAATACCTAAAAGAATTAAAGGGGCACAAGACTCAGGAAAAACAAGGTAGGGAACTGGCATCTTTCCTTGTATTTCACTTTTTAACCTATTTACCTCTACTTTGAATTTTTTTTCAATTAAATCAAGAAGATTTTAACATATAAAAATCTCCAATCATCTAAAATTGCTTTCTATTGGAAAGGAGATCTAATAGTGTTAGCTGCAATAGAAAAACAAATTCATAATGATGTTTTGAAGGATACATTGCAAAAGACAAAACAAGCAGGCACCAGACTAAGCTGATATTCATTTCCTGTGTGGGCTTCATAAAACTGTAGTAGACTTCAGTTACTAGATACACAACTGTAGCAGCCACTGTGAAATCCACCAGCCACTGGTATTCTGGAAAGTAATGTAATGCTGAAAAATAAGATTTTAAAAAAAGTCTTACTTAACTTTCATAAATGGCTTAGGAGGATTTTTCAATAGCTAAGTTTAAACACACTAGACTTTATTTGTTGATCTGCCATGTAAGGTTTACAAATATAATAATCTAAAATAGAGGCAACAGATTGAAAATTCTGGCATCCCAAATTAAATTTTAATGCTTCATAAATTGAACAATAAAAACAAACCTGTAATTATTACCAAAAAAGTAAACTGTTGTTAAAATTACTGCAAAATAAGTCAGTATTTTCTTATAGCTGATTAGTTACCTTTTATAGAAACTATAAATCAATATTTTTTAACAATCTAAGCTATGATAGATTTAACTTTAAGAATATAACTTGCTTACATTATTACACTGCTTACATTATTAATTCTGTAAAGAGTTAAATTTTGTTAGTTATTAACTGCACTAATGAGAATGGTGATTTTAGAAGTTACTGCAGATTAAAATAGTAATAAATACTTTTTACTCCCTATTCTACTTCTGCAAGTAAAGCTGATGAAGTATCTGTCAACTGTCCATAAAACCGTATCTCTTCAACAAACCATTCCAAAACAAACAAAAACAACAACCTATTCCATTCTTAAGGGTTTACATGAAAATTATCATCATCCTCTAAAAATAAACATGATTCCATCTCCCTTCATCTCAGATATTCTGGCTTACTTCTGCCAGACTGCAGTCTAAAATACACCATGTTGTAGAAGGTCCCCTTAAAATGTGGAAATTAGCCATATACATAAATACCATTCCTATGGGCTCACTGGTACATAATAAAATGATCTACATTGCTCTGGAAAAATTTTAGTTGTATACATAATAGCTGAGAATGTCAAACTAAGACTTGTCTAAAATATCAAAACACACTAAACAAACTTACATCTCTATGAAGTAGTATAAATTACTTCTTTTTTGATTGAACAAATTTTTATATGCTCCAAGTTAATTTAACACTCTTAATTTGCTTCAAGGTTTTTTATTGTTGTGATGAACGAACAGTGTCTGAACATTAATCTGAAAGATTTATCCTCAAGTAGTTGCAGAAGTGCTACCTTCTACCTACTCCTCTACCCCTCTAAAATCACCCAGTTGATTCTTTGAGTAATTTTCTGGAAAGACAGGTAAATAAATGGAAAAGACAAATTTTCTTTATCTGAAAGTTTTCAATTTTTATTGACAGCTGAAATAAACACACTAATTCTTAATGCCTGTCCCATCATACAGGTTTCATGCAGGACACTCACAGCAAACAGCCAAGTGATATTCCAATGTTGTTGTGTTCCTTAAGAGAGTCTTATAGATAGTTGATACAAATTGAGAGAATTTCAAGAGAGTTATTGGGATATCAACAACACAGTGAACAAAAGTAAAAGTTATACAAATTCTTGGCTACAAATTTAACCTCAATATCATACTGTTCTTAATGTATTTAATAATATAATTATAGTTTTGCCTTTCGATATAGTACTGGAGTCAAAAATAACTTTAGGAGCTCATCAAGATGAGCGCTTTAGTTAAGCTCCTGAAAGAACCTAAAGATCAGGCAGAAAGCCCTCTATACACACACACACATATCCCACAAATGCACCAATTTCATTCATAAATGATTACATAAATATAATCTTAAATATCTCCATTATGATGACTAGCTGAAATGCTCTTGATATTACATAACCAGTAAACTAATTCCATTTGTAATTCTCAAAATGTAAAACAAAATAATGAAGAAGTTAAGCTGTGTACCTAAGCCACATTACCTTAATTTTATTTTTTAAATTCCTTATAAGAGCCTAGTTTTCAACAACTGGCCCTAACACACTAAGTATAACCTTGGCCAAGTTATTTAACTCCTCTAATAAATTAAAAATAAATTATATATTGATAAATTATATATTGATATTTCACAGAATCCTGAGGATGAGTTAATATAAGTAAAGCATTTATGCCTGATATTCAATTTTAAGCTATTATTAAACTTAATTAGCTGACAATTAGTCAATAGATAATAGTCATTAGTAAAAATGTCAAAATCTATACTACAAATCAGGGGAGGAGGAATGTGTATATATGCTTTTTATATATGTCTTGTGAACATTTTATACAAGTAAGTACACATAAGAGAATTAGTAAAACAAATATGACAATCAATAAATCAAAGTGCTTTTTAAACGTTTTAAACTGTGCATGAAAAACAATTTAACAGAAAAGAGTTTGACATATTCAGTCTTTAGCTGTATTATTGACAATTGACATATTGTTCCTTAGTGTCATTTCTGGGTTCTAGAATGCCCTTTATGCACATACAATCTTTGTGGGTATAGAGTCACCTTTTAAATATATTTAAGCCACTTTGTATCACAAAATAATTCTGTAAGAGATGAAGAGATGCTAGGTAAACGTATTAAGGTTTTTCTGGGATGGAAAAAAACACAAGAAAAGCCAAATTATGTAATGCACTTTATAAAACATTACCAAAATTACTTTTTAAAAACACATTATTTCAATTTTTCATTTATCATGTAAATGAATAATTTCCAAACTTGATGAAAAATCAGAACCACTTGGAGCATTTGTAAAAATACAATCCCAGAAGCCATTCTAGATTTACTACATCTCTAAGACTAGGTAAAGGAAATCATTTTTAAGGAGCTGCTCAAGCGATTCTGATGTATAGCTAGACTTGAAACTCAGTATTTGATATCATCTTAGATACCTTTCTTTTCTATAATTCAATTAATTTCATGTAAATTTTACTTTAAAATCACTACATTTTATTATACAATTAAGTACTGAGATACAGGGAAAAAACTACAATAACTTATTTAGAAATACCCAATGGGTAAGAATGAATCCTGAGTAAAGTTTCTTGATTACTAATCAACAGGTGATTATTCTAAAACACTTTCTACTAAATTTGCGCATAAAGTGGAATTATTATAAACACAGCAATTCAAAATCAATAAGCAAATGCTTTTCTGCAAGCCATAGTATAAAAGAAGTGGCACAGATAGCAAAAATCTAGGATTTGAAACAATGAAAACTGTGATCTCAACATAAACTATTTAACAAGCTTGTGTGAGTCAGTCTCATCTGAAAAATGGTAAAAATAATTCTTACTACAAATTAGGTCAACAGAAAAGATTTTCAATTCAAGTGATGTCATTCTGAGCTTCCAAGCTCTTAGATTTCATATACTGAATAACAGACTTCATGATTAGAAATACAAACCAAAAAATTTAGCCACAATAGATAAAATGAAAGTACTTTCACCAGCATAATATAAAGCTGAGATTTATAGAACACTTTACCAAGATTTCCCTTACCTAAAGTATCCACTTCTGTAACTGACTTTGTTTCTAGATGGAGATCAATATCCTTTGGAATGGTTAGTGGCTTACTTTCAATGTGACCATTATATTTCCTATAAAAATCAGACAAGTGACACAAAAAACAAGTTACCTACACTGTTATCCAAGGGATGGTAACAGACTAATTACAAATGAAATTTTAAATTTCACAAGGAAAAAACAGCAGAATTTCTAATATTTTGTCAAAAAGGAGGGAGGGTACTCAAAAGCAGTTTTTTAAAAGGGGGGAGCTACAAAATACTGATATAAATTATGTGCATAGAGATTACAAGGGAAAGAATTACCTAAATGAGTGACAGAAAAAAAAATTTGTTCACCCCATTTCTCTTAATCTTTCTTCTATAGAGTTAAAGACAACCTAACACCTATTTCTTTAAGCACAAGAGGAAAAGCAAATGAAGGCAAAATGCATTACTCTTTGAAATACACACGTACACATATACATACAAACATACATACATATATGTAACATACCTATAACTACAAAAAAATCAGAGTTGAAGAAATCTATCAAAATTTATTTGCATGAGAAATTAAGAAATGTGAAAGACTATCTTGATGTTACTTTCACTAAGAATCATAGAGGACAATCACAGAAGAATTATTCAGGTGCACATGTATCATTCCCAAATTTATTTTTTAAGGACAATCAAAACAGAAAGCAATAAACTAAGACCAAGAAAAAATTTTACATTTGTATTCTTGAACAAACAGGGGAAACCTCGGTAAAAATAACAGTATGTCAGTAAATCAAAAAATTATTGCTACTAAGAATGAGATAGTGTCATTAGTGCATCTTTTCGCAAATATAAGGCATTTTCAACATAAAATTATTATAAAAATAAAATTAATAACTACAGGGCATAAGAATTCAAATTTTGTTAAAATAAATACTATACAAAACTTTCAAATGATGAATATGGTAGCTATGAATAGGCAGAGGTGGAGTGGTTAAAAACAGAGAAAACTAAAAACTAACCTGGATTAAAAACCTCGACTCTTAATAGTTATCTGAACTTGGGCAACTCATTTAACATCTTTCACCAACAACTTCCTCATTAGTAAAATATAAACCAAACTGATAGCTAATATTGAGGGTTGTGTAGATTAATTAAAAACTGTATGTAAAAGTACTTTGAAAACTATTAGGCAGGAATATTTTCTTAAAGAACGTAACTTTGAAACACAGACAAGAAGGGTTTATACCTAACATTCCAACAAGCTTTAAGGTACATTTTTAGTAAGTGAAAAAAAGAACAGTAGTACTATTAGAAGACAGTTTTTTTCAAAATACTAATTTCATGTTAAATAACCATTAATGTTTAAATAACTTTTAGCACCTACAAATGCATTAGCCCAGATTTATATAATATTTATGATATATGTATAATTCGGTAACAATCTGTTGTCAACATTTTATAACGTATTTGAGTCATAGTTTCAGGTTCTAAGAAGTGAGGAAGCCAAGATCCACTCCGAAAGGCAAATTATCCAGTCCAGCCCTTGAAAATTCAATTAAATAGAAATATTTTTTAAAAAGTTCCCATTTAAATTTATTCTTTATTTTTAAAAGGAAGCAGAATAGAATTGTTGAGTAAATCATGTGTTCGCTATCTTATATGCTGTATCACATGCTATACAAACACATTATTTTCTAGTCAGGAGGGTAAAAGGACATATGCAGCAGTACTTACTCGCACAGAGAAAGGTTTTTGTTTTGTTTAAAGAACAGTACAGGAAAGACCACACAGAATAAGATAACAGAAAAAAAGATAAAAATTTAAGTTGGAGAGATCCTTCAAAATTACTGTTCCTGGGCGTATAGTTCAGTGGTAGAGCAGTTGACTGCAAAATTACTGTTCCTTTTTCCACAGATGAAGCTGTTACTGGTTCATTTAAGTGAGGTTGATTAAAGCAGGCAGTTTTGTTCATAAACTTTGATACGATATTCAGCAGCAGAAAAGGACCTAAGAGACTATATTGTCCATTCCTTCATTTCAAAATGCAGGTTAATGTACCCAAAATCTTACTACTGAGTGGTAGCAAAACTTGGAAAAAAACTGAAACCAACCAATAACCTTTAAATAAGTTGTATGGTAAAGAAACGGCTAACTCCAGTCAACACACCCCCTCCAGTTTTAATATGATTATATTGTTTTTATAATTTAAACATAAAGAAAAAAATCAATAATTCTTAACTTTAAGAATCATTCTTCTATGCTCATATGTTGATTACTACATATCAGGTTTTTTTAAAGGACGATTCAGTATTATTTTTGATCATGGGTTTTGATCTCAAATTTATCAACTACTTATAACATGATCAATAAATGTTTCTTTAAAGCAAAAATATTTATATTAAAAAATAGATTATTTACATATGCATAAATTATGTCAGATATTTAACACTTTACAAGCTCAACAATAATACTTACCTATCTTTCTTGCTTTTGCCTTTATATTGCTTCCCTGCAAGAATCCTTAGTTCCTCCTCTGTAGGATGCTGATACCATCTCAAACTAAGGGGAAAAAAATATGATCCTTTTAAATAAAGCAACTAAAATCACCAAAATTACTCATTTATTCTATAATTATCAAGTTTTTTGTGAAGACACTGTAGGAAAATATCAAGTAAAAATGTCTAATCTTTGAAACATACTACAGTTTAAGACTTTAAAGGTTTAGACTCAAATGCAGTAAACACTTACCAAGCACTTACTAGATGCCAGACTCTGCAATGTTGTCTGTAGGATATTTGTTAGAACTGGCAACTTATTAATAGATCGTAAGATTAAATAGATTTACTATTAAAAGTAAATGGAATGGATTCTTCAGTCAAGTCAGCAGGAGCACATGCGAGTTCTCCACACAGCCTTCATTTTATACAGAAAGAACTGAGAGCTGCCTTAAAAAGTCCTTTGAATGCCTTCAAAATTATAAGTACTCTTTGCTTTGTTTTCCTATCTTCCCCTTCTTTAATTTAGTTGGAAAATTCTGAAAGTTTATATGTATGATAATTAGAGTAATTCATTATATTTGTAAAACATTTTACTCTTGGCTATATTTAAACTTCTTAATTTAGGGTTCCAACAATTGGGTATAGTCACCTCCACCATACAATCAAAACATCTGAGCACATCATTTATTCCCTCCCAAGCACCCAACTGCTCCTTCACAATTTCCTGTCTCACTGAACTTATCTACTAGCCACTTAAATGTAATAGTCTGGTCTTATCTCAACATGCCCAATCCACTTGCTATTATTTATTGTTCTTTAATTCTTAAATTCTAAACATTACATTACTCCATTCAACAACCTTAGTTCAGCAAGTCTTTCTCTAAGGCCTGACTATGACAAAACCCTCTAACTGGTCCTCCCTGTGCATTCTGATCCTGCCTTTAGCTGTTTTCCATAACGGAAATCTTATCAAGGAAAATATCTATTTAAATCCTTCCCATGACTTCACGAAGTAAAGCAATGAGTAAGGCAAAGTCTTTGAAGAAGGTCCTGTTAGTATTCAGAAGGAGATTTGTATTTGTATTGCCAAATTTGTATTGCCAAATCTTACATTTTCAGTTACAAAAATCTAGATTTTTAAAGCAAAACAGCTACATGCTGTTAAAATGCTAGCAATACCAGAAATCATTAACAATTGATTTGCTCTTACTAAAAACAATGCAAAACTCACAATTTGAGTAGTGACTGTAACTGATGACATTAAAGAAAAATTTAACCCCATTAATAATTTTCTAATAGTTTGCATAAAGCTCAAATGTTTTATAGATATGTGCTGAAATATTTATGAATGCAATAGTAAGATCTGCTACAAAATAAGCTGGGGTAGGAAAGATGAAGGGGAGCATAGTGAAACAAGTTTGATCAACAACATTAATTGTGATGAATACACAGAAGCGCATTATATTCAAATTATACTGATTATATCATTCTGTCTGTTCTTTGCAATAGGTATGAAAATTTCCATTAAAGTTAAAAAAACACATTACAAGGCCCAAATGTTTAAGGGTTGTGATCTGTTTCCACAGCTGTTTAAGATCTGATCGTAGTGTATTTCCTTTAGACTGGTCTACAAACCCCCACCTCCTACCCACTTAAAAATGTTTTCATTCCTTCTTACCCCCTTTTGTAATGACCAAAGATTGGAGAGGTCAAAGTAGGTACACTATTTTAAATAAGAGAACTTAGAAATTCGGAAGCATTGTTAGGTCCAGAGCAGTAATCTGGCTTCTCATTTGAACCTTGAGCATGACATTTCAGCTACACTAAATGCCATTTTAGTCCAAAAATTCTTTTATCCTTTGGGTTTTTGTTCTCTCAACTTGCAAACTCCTGTGCCCTATGCCCAATTTACTTTTCACTATTTATAGGACAGTCTTCCTTGGTTTTTGCCTAGCTCCCAACACGGAGTTTCAAAAGCACTTGGAAATTCTGAGTGATAGGAAGCAGCTATATGCTAATGAGGCAACTAAAGGTAATCCTCCAGATGTCTTCAGGAAGCTGGTTACCACAAATGTCACCCATGTTGATTAGAGTCAGGACTTTCAAACACCTGACCTCCAAGGAGGGTACAGAAATAAGATGCTAAATTTTAACATGTGGTCAGTGATTTAAATCATACTGAAGTAATAAAACTCCATAAAATTTCTAGATACTGAAGGTCACAGGTGCTTCCTGGTAGGTCGACACATGGATGTGCCTGGAGAGTGACAAGCCCCGACATCACAATTAGAAGATATGGGAACTCTGAGCTCCTTCACAAACCTCTTCCTATGTACATCCTTCATAAAAAACTATAACCATAGGTATCGCAATGTACTTAATTCTAGTCTTCTAGTTTAGTATTAAACCTAATGGGGTTATGGGAACACTCAATGTGTAGTTTATAACCAGCTGGTCAGAAGTCTGGGTGATCTGGGTATCCCAAGAACTTTAGGCTAGTATCTGAAGCAAGGATATCCTTAGGGAGGATTTTGTCTTTAACATTAGGGTCTATCCTAACTCCATGTAGCTGGTATAAGGTCAGATGGCTTAAAATAGAATACCGACCTAACTGAAAGATTCTTAGAGTGAAGAGTTTTGATTCAACTGCTTTGCATAATTTAAAACTAGTACAAGTTACTGGCATATAGTAAGTACTAAAAAAGGATCACTGAACCAAAATGAATTCAGTTTTCCTTTTGGTTTAATAATGTCCCAATCAAAAATTCCTAAATTATAATGAGTATAGATAGGTGAGGACACACCTCCTAAAATTTTGATTGAAGTCTAAAATTTTAACTTACAGTCAATGCTTGTTATTCGCGGTAGTTATGGTCTATAAAGTCTCCGCGAACACTGAACCATTGCTCCTAGGGGAAATACAGGGTTAGGTTCCTGAGAGCCTTTGGTCATAATATTTTCATCAATGATCAATAACACAATTTTGATTTGTGTGTTTTTGTTTAAAGACATCTTATTTAATATACATTGTTGATACATTAACATTAAATTCATGGCCAACAGCATTAAAATTCATGCCTGAACAAAGCTTACCTAAATTCTATAATTTTCAGTAGAATATTTTCCTGATTTCTGTGACTCATTACAGTGAATTTTCTCTCTATGGTACATCATAGCCTTTTTGCACTTAGGAACACTCGAAAGTACTTCAGGACTATGTTTGGAAAGCATTTTAAATAGCAAAATCATCAACAAAAAGCACAAAATATAAAAAACATGGCACTAAATAAACCACAAAAAGGACACTTATTTGCAACATGAAAGTCAAAATGAGAAGCATCAACTGAGAATGTGAGTGTCAGGTCACTCAAATTTTTTGCCACTCTGTATGTCTGTCACAAGTATCACAAGTATAGAATTTAGGGTTACAAATTTCAGCACGTAAGCAAGTGACAAATATAGAATCCATGAGTGATGAGTGAGTACATATCATTCAGAAGAACACATAAGCAATAACTCATTTATAAAAACTAAAATTAGTTGTTTAGCTTTGAGAAGTAATAATCCATGAAATAACTCTTGATAGGAAAACATAGGTTACATTTAGAGCCCTATAACTATGAAATGTTTGAAGACCCTTGAGATTCTTTTCTAGGATCCATTTTCTTTTTTCAGTATACTCAAGTTTGTTTGATCTTATTTTGTGAAATGCATTTTCTAAAATGGATTACATTTATTACAGTCCTTACTGGAAAACTCAGGTCATCTTCATTAGTAACAATTACTGTTCAAAGCTAGAAACCAAGGATGCTGGATACTTTTAGGGCCACTTACTTTCTAGTCTGTTACTCATCTATCTATCTATCCATTCATTCATTTATTAACACTTGTGGAGCACACTGGGGATAAGTAGTCTGCTAGGCAAAGGACAGCAATCTCCAGCTTTCTTGATGCTTATATTCCAGGTGGGGCATAACATAACCAAAAAAAAGGATGGAAAAATCATAAATTACCATACCACAAGGAAAGTACCAGGTGGTTAAGAATGAGAGCCAAATGTGTTAGATGAGGAAACCATTCTAAAAAGACATTTACCCAGCATCCTGAAGGATGAGAACAATGAAAGGAAGAGGATTCAAGGCAAAGACAGCACATCCAGAAGCACAAAGGCACAAAAGAACAGTCTACTGCTGCAACCAATAGGCCAAAGAGGCAGTAACACCATGTACAATGAGAATAACATGCAGGAGGCTGAAGTGAGAGGAGGGAAACAAAACATTGCAGTCTTACGGCCATAGTGTGGAGTTTACATTTTATGCTAAAATAATGGTCTCAAAGCAAGGGAGAGAAATTTAATTCCATTTACAATGTAAGATCTCTTGCTGTTCTGTGAATTAGAGGGAGGCAAGACTAGCAGGGAGATATATTTTGGACATCAAAGCAACAAGTGTTGCTGGACTAAAGGTAGGGAGTGAAAAAATAGTAAAGACTGAAGGATATTATCTACATTTCTGATTTGAGGGAGATAACAGTACATTTTTGGAGAAAATAAAACATGATAGAAGGGTAACAGTTAATAAGGAAGTGAGAAAACTGAGTTTATGGAGACAATAAATGTTACAATTTTGGCTGTAAAGGAAAAGGGAATAGACCCCAAACTAAGAAATCAAGATGGAAGGGAGGCATGGCTGTGACTCTTCTCTATATAAAGGTGTGACTACTTTTAACAGAAGCTCTTTTAAAAAACACCGAAGTGTGTGTTAAGCAGAAACAATCCAACAGAAACCAAGCAATTAATCAGAGACAATGGTCAAAGAAACAAAGTGTGGGTAAAGGTCAGAATACAAAGCACACATACATGAATTGGGCTGTGACAGGACACTTTTTCCAAAAGCAAAAATTAAAATGCATAAACATTAACAAAACAAAAAGCGACTGCACATGTAGCTAGAGTTGAGGGTTTGGTGGTGTGAAGATGAGAAATGTAGAGCTCTAGTTTCAAAAGCATAAGGTTAAGAAAGACAAAACTTGAGAAAGTTATCTGAGAAATGGGACATGTAA